TTCCAGAAGTTACTGTGGCGGGGGCACCAACCGTGACACATGGTATGTGCGCACACAGAGACACACAGAGACACACACGTACACACACAGCAACACAGACATACACAGGCATACACATGTACCTGCGTGCACAGTCACACACAGGCTCATGCACACAGCAACAGGCACGTACACACTTACACATGTGTGCACACGGGCATGCACACAGGCTCACACATGCAGATGCACAGAGGCACACACATATAACATACCTGCACTTGCACACTAGGTGTGCAGGCACACACACACAACAGCCGCTACCGTTGAGTTCAGAATGAACTGTCAGCGACTAGGACCCTGCGGTGCAGGAGGGGAAGAGTGAACTTCCGTCACGAGAGCCATTCCAGGACGGCTTTGACGACTTAACATTAGGCCGCCTGTTAACGTGATTCGTCATATTAATGGGTGAAAAACATTATTTGATAAAATTAAAAATGAATTTTAATAAAAACTTGTAACAAAAATAGAAGCTACTTGCTTTGTGTGAGAGAGTCTCTTCCACACCAGCTGCTCGCATCACTCTGTGTCTCCATCGGTGCAATTAGAACCCAGAGAAGGGTGTGGATGGACTCTGGTTCCTCCAGCACATTGTTCTGGAAACGTGAGTCAGTATCATATTTAGATGTGTACATGTGAACATGTACATCTTCTAAGGAGAAGGCAAAGTTGCATTATTTGTGTGTGATCTGAACCTCAGCTTTGCAAAAAACAAAGTTAAAACACATGGGAGGGGTGCCTGGGTGGCTCAGTTGGTTAAGCGACTGCCTTCGGCTCAGGTCATGATCCTGGAGTCCCTGGATCGAGTCCCGTGTCGGGCTCCCTGCTTGGCAGGGAGTCTGCTTCTCCCTCTCCCACTCCCCGTTTGTGTTCCCTCTCTCGCTGTGTCTTTCTCTGTCAAATAAATAAATAAAATCTTTAAAAAAAAAAAACAAAAACAAAAACAAAAAACACATGGGAAAACTACCAGCTTTGCAAAAAACAAAGTTAAAACACATGGGAAAACTACCAGCAGTGGCTGCTGTTGAGCGAGCGCACATGCGGACAGCACCGCGGGTGAGCACTGCGTCCTGAGGGCACGGCAGGCGCCTGGGGCCCACGGGGCTATGGAGACTGTGGGTGCACCATTTCTTCATCTGGGTACTGGTTGTACTGACTTTATTATTGCTTAAGCTCACATCCACGTTTTATGCTTTTCACATATGGTATTTTTCACAATAATTGTTTAAAACATGTTCCCTTTTCTATATATTAAAAATAGCCAGCAAGTAGATACTAGGAAGGAAAGGAATCTGATTTGTAACAGCAACAGTAACAGACAATGACAGGAACATGAGCTGGCTCAGAATGCACTGCATGCATAGATATTAAAATCCCATAAAACTTTACTGATTGAAATGAAAGGAAATTGAATAAAAGGAGGACTTGGCCACATGATTCCATGGTGAGACCCAGTAAATTAAGGTTATAAATTCTCCCTAAATTAAACCATAAATTCAACACAATATTGACAAACTGATTTTAAAAGTCAACTGGAAGAACAAATGTTTGAGAATGGCCATGAAAATTAAAAAAAAAAAAAGATCTGTGAAAGAAGACTTGTCCTACCAGTTACCAGTGCATTTTGAAGGTACAGTTGAAATGAGAGTGTGGACTTTCACGCCAATGGAAAAGAATAGAGATGTTCCAGAAACAGAATCTGTATGTATCAGAATTATAATTTGGAAAAAGAATGAATTGCTCAGGATTAGAATTTGGGGCACATTATCACCATTTGAAGTTTTTAAATCCCTCCCTCTTAACATAAAATAAATTCCAAACATAACAAAGACTCAGATGTGAAAAGGAAAACTCACAAAAGTACTGGGAAAATGACCAGCTGGAACAATTAAAAAGCCATAAAGGCAGTGATAGGTTTTATTAAATACAGATTTTAAGTTTTGTATGGGAAGGAAAACAGTAAACAAAATTTAAAATACAGCTGAAAATATTTAATGTCTTTCCATTCTCAGACACAACATCGAGCAGTTACATGATAGTTTATGAGGTTACAGAGCTGGGTTTTTTTAAACATTAACTTGTTCTTCATAAAATCTTGAAGCTACTTGCTTTCAAGAGTGACAGGAAAACAAGAATATAGGTGAAATATTAGAAACCCATAAAAACTACAACATCAATCTCATACCGTATTCAGTCACTTAAGCTTATTTATCAGGTAATGGAACTGCGCGCCGGGCACCATCCTAGGCACTGGGGTTGTAGTGATGAACAAGATGAGAGAAGTCCTTTTACCCCCTGAACTTACCTTCCGTGGTAAAGACGAGATACAAACAGCTATGTGATAAAACATTAGGGAGTGAGAAATGCTAGTGTTAAAAAGCAGAGGGGATAGACAATGGAAGTGTTGTTTTCCTTAGGCTGGTAGAGGAGGTCGAAATCTAGATAAAATAAAGGAGTAAATCCTAGTTTTCTGGGGCAAGGATACTGCCGGCCATGGGAACAGCAAGTGCAAAGGCCCTGAGGCAGTCTCTGCTTGGTGCGTTGGAGGGACAGCAAGTGTCAGGGTGAATGGAGCAGGGCGAGCAAGGGTAAGCATGAGGAAGTAAAGTCAGAGCAGTGGTCAGGGCCTGCAGGGCCTTCCGTGGTAGGCCTAGGTGAGGACTTGGCATTTCGTTCTGAGAGGCAGGAGGCCTCTGGAGGGTTTTAGGCAGATGGAATGACTTATTTCAACATTTTTCGTAACATTACCTCTCAAAAGGCTTGCCCTGGCTGCTGCGTAGAGGGGTAGGCAGGGCAGGCAGGAGTGGAAGCAGAGAGACTGTTCTGGAAAATGTGAGAGATACCTGGTGTTTGGCGTAGGGCTGTATCTCTCGACCGTAGTGATACTGCTCCTGAGGGGACATTCAGCAGCACTGGGGGACATCTTTGGTCATCATAGCTGGGGTCAGGGTGCTGCTGGCATCCTGCGGGCCGAGATCAAAAATAAAATCTGGCCAACTCTGGATCTGCTTTTATTACCTGTTTTTCTTCTTGATTTTAGAGAGGAGACTCCGCTGTGGGAGCTTCAACAAGAAAGTCCGCGGAGCATCTGGCTCTGCGCTTGCGGGCGGCTTGGTGGTAGCACTGGTGTCCTCTGGCTTTGCTCTTAGTGCTGGGGTGGGGCTCTGAGCCCTGGAGCCTGGTCAGCGGGGGGCCGGGGTGATCGAGCCCCCTGATGGGGTGGGCTGGCTCTCCCTGCCAGTGCGCACCCTGGGAGCAGGTAGTGACCAGCTCACTGCAGCCTCCCAGTTACTGTCTCCGCGGGGCTCCCGGGAGTCTCGGCCCGTGCGCGAGCCGGGCAGCGCTTAGCCGGGGACGCAGGAGACGCTCAGCCGGGGAGGTGGCCGCTTTCCGGTTGAGTCCTGCCCTGCGTGCTGTGTGGATTGGGCGTGCCCACAGGATTCGCTGGGTAGGGGCGGACTGGCCCAGAGTTGCTCGGGTAAGGGCCACTTCTGTTTCTGTCTGCGTCCGTTTGCTTCTTGGAGCTTTTACATGGCTGTTTTTTCTGTTTTGTCCAGAGCTGATTATTATTATTGATAAAAGGACTAGTCTGATACAGATTATCCTGTCATCACTGGAATGCAGAAGTGCCAGTGGTTAAGTACGTTATAGATAAAAAGACAAAGTGGCACCGTTTGCATAGGACCCAGAATTAGACTGGAAAATGCCTTTACTGAAGATCGTCTTTATCCACCGAGAGATTCTGATTCACCTGAACCCGCCAGGGGTGCTGCATGTGCCCTGGTGCCGCGGGGGGCGGTCGGTGGGGGGAGAGCAGAGCCATCTGAAAGTGGCGGAAACAGGATTTGCTTGGCATGGAATTACCGGCCAGAGGGAGCACCGAGGCCACGAGCCGTCTGTGCCCGCTGAGAGGGGCCGCTCCCTCCGTAGGCAAGTGTGACCATCCCTGTTTCTTGTGTTTGTGAACAAGAGAGCCCCCACTACCGAAGCCACGACCAGGAAAATAACTTCGTTTCTGCTGGCGGGCGAGCAGCGGGTGAGGCCTGGCTTCCAGAGGGGGTGCGCCTGACCGGCTTGGTGCCCAGGGGTCCCAGCAGCCAGCTCCATATCCCCCCACCCTGGAGGCCACCCTTGGGAGCCACCTGTCTTCACAGCTATCATCCCTCCTGTCTCTCTGTCACCCTTCCTACCCGGCCACCTCGCACGTGTCATGCCTTATCTCCCCGAACGTGGCCTGGTGCTTGTACGTGTCCCTCCCCGTGGGCCCGCTGGCCTTCTCCGGCCTTCCTCCACTTCCCGTGTCCAGCTAGTGATGCACGGAGGTGTTTCCTGCAGGTGTTCATGCCTGCCATGTGCTTGCTGGGTGGCTGGAGCGTAATCTCACGTTTCACATTTCTCCAAGTAAAAGCTGTGAGTTGCTTTCTTACTCAGTGCTGTGGTTGCTTCGTCCCTGCTGCGTGTTGGCAGCCCGGGCGGGAGGCAGAGGGCGGCTCCGTGCCCCCCGGCAGTGCACTTGCTGTCCGGCTGGGTGACCTGCTGCAGTCCAGTCTCAGTGTGACGCGGTTAGGTGCATGGTAACCAAGTGATAGAACGGAATTCGCTGTTCTGTGTTTCTTCCCACATTTTTCTTTGTGTGCCTGGAAGTCGTTCATGCTCGCTCATCCTGCTGACCCTCTCCCCAGCTTGCTTTCTTAAGAAGGAATAAAGGAAAGAGAAGCCAGTGTGTCCATTCTTTGGGCAGACGCTCCCTTTCCTGTCTTACTGGGCCCCTCCCCAGGGACCCTGTGTCGGGTTTCTGTCCCTCCACTGACAGGCTGGCAGTCCGGTTTTCTTCATAAATCTCGAAGCTGCCAGGATTAAGAAACCCCCGCCCCCACCTGTAGGCCCTCACGTCCCTGGGGGACTGTTGTATTTCCCGTTAAATGCCCCCTCAGTGTGACTCACTTTCTCTCCTTTCTCTGCAGGTTTTGCATGCAGAAATGCGTTAGTCTGGTGCCTGGGGTCACACTGGATTTAATAGAAAAGTAAGTAAGATTTTTAAGCTGTGCGGCTTTCGGGGTCTGAGGGGGGTTCTTTGCTGTTCGTTCTCGGGGGCACTTCCGGTCAGCGAGGGGATGTTTCCCTTGTGTGTGGGTGTGCACTTTTCTCTGGCGAAGGCCGTGTTGCTACTTGTGCTGGTGATCAGCGTAGGACGCGTCTCCATGTGCGGCCATATTAAAAGAACAGAATAAAAGCTGAATACTTTTGAACAGTGACAAATACTCCCAACACTAAGTCAAAGCAAAAATGTATGGCTGCACACAGAGGTTGTCTCTGCTCCCCGACTGCAGTAGCTGGGTCACGGCCTAGCGCCTACCCGATTTCCCCCAACTCTCCCGTTAATATTCTGCAAGCCCCCCGCCCCTGTTCTGTGTTCTGCCTCAGGGCAAATGCCCCAGTCCAGTCCAGCAGTGTCCTTCATGGTGCATTGTGGTTATGTGGCCTCTCCTCGTCCTTCCAGGTCATGGGCGGCCTGGCTGCCTCCAGTTGTGGACTTCCTTAGGTCCAGACTACTCTGTGGCTCTAGACTTGACCTGCGTTGCGGGTGTGCGTGCACGTGTGTGTGTGTGTGTGTTCGTGAGACTTGCCATGACTCATCCTGGTTCATCTAGGTAGCTGTTCTTAAATCCTCTGCCCTGGAGACCATTCCTTCTAGAATTAACATACAAGATAATAGTTTTCTAAGTCTTGATACACAAAATCGTGGGTGAGAACAGCTAAGGCCTGGGTTTAATTAAATCAGGTAGGAAAAGCAAATATACTTCTGGGTTTCTCTCCTGGAAAACGACTTGCCTGTGTGTCAGGGAAATAGACAAGAGGGTTATGCCTAAGCGTCCACCATTACGGGCAAGAGGGGTCGGGTCCTGCCGGGGTTGCGCGCTCTGTGGAAGCTCCGGTCTGCCCGGCGTGCTGTTATTGGGAAAAGCAGACAGAGACTGATACACAAGGAGGCTGCCATGAGTATTTTCAGACCGCATGTGACTCTGCGTGTGTGAGTCCAGGTGAAACAGGCACGAAACGATGAGTCCGTTGTTCAGTCTGAGTGGGACAGCGCAGGTGGGGAGCTGTGTTAACTGACTTGGGTTTCTTTCCATCTTTTAAATTTTCCTACGAGAATACAGACACATGGGGTGCCTGTAAAATAAAGACTCAAGAAACTATAGGGCACTTGCAGACAATTCACTGAGTATAATTACTCTGCAAATTTTGAGTAAGTGTCTAAGGAATTTGGTCTGCTTCAGGGTCTGGTCTGCTTCAGGGGGCTTTGTTCACAAGCAAGGTGGGGTACGGTGGCAGGGACCAGTGCGACACTGGGTGGCGCCGGCCTGTGTTGGCACGGCCAGGCAGGGGTGTGGGGTTGAGGTGTGCTGACAGGTGAGGTGCGGGCAAGCTGGAATCGCCGGAGCAGGAGCCCCAGGGTGAGGCGGCAGGCAGGGAGCCAGACGTGCTCTGTGGGTCGGGGACAGGCACGGTGGCCAGAAGCAGGGACTGCTGACACGAGCTGCAGGGTTCTCAGATCACGAGCCAGTGATGACCAGCTGTAGCGACGGCCCTTGAGCTCGCTCGGCGCATGCCCCCTCCCTGTCTGCGCTATGTGGTCTCTGCTTGCTGCGCACACTCGTGGTCAGGAAGCGGGGGGGCGCGCTGTGACACACACGGGCTGGGCGACACGGGGGATGGGGTGCTCCGCGTACGCCCGCGTCCCGGTCGGGCTCTGCTTTCCCCGGCGGCCTGCTCGCTCAGGGCGCCTCCGTTCGCCCTCCTGGCGCTCCTCCAGACTCTAAGCTGGTTTCACCTCCAGGCGCAGTGACCCAGAAAACGGTTTACAAATGCTAAGCAAACAGCATGAGCCTGGAGAAACATTATGTGGAGGAAACTTTAGGTCTGGTCAACCAGTCGGCTTGCTTGAGTCCCTTGTCGGGATCGCAGAGACTGCAGAGCCACCCGGCAGCTCCACGTGCCAGTCCGCTGCGCACGCGCTCTCGGGCCCCATTTCCCTCTATTACCTATGCTCACATTGCCCGGTACGGACCAGTTCTCCAGCCTTACCCGGTGTGGGGGTGGCAGTGGTACATTCCATCACGGCAAGGTTGCGCCTGGTGGCCTGTCCAGAGAGGTCTTGTTCTACTTCCCGCCTGCCTGTGAGTGGGGCAGCCTCGTGGGCCCTCCCCACCAGGCAGGGCGTGAACCCCGCCGCTGCCCCCGTGTCTGGGTGCTGCCCTGTCCCGTCCCCATCCCTCCCAACCGAACTCTGCTCGTGTTCGCTGAGCCACACGGGAGCAACAGCACCACATGTTCTGAGCTCTCCCGAGTGAAAGGAGCTACTAAAAATCACATAAATGAAAAATATGTATCTTTTCAGTTACTTAGTTAAGCCTCCTGATTGTACTGGAGAGAAGCCTGGCATTCAGTTCGGCTGTGCTTCCTGGCGGCATCTCGCACCGCGGCAGGGCCGGTGGGGCGGCCAGGCCTCCAGGGTCTCTGCTCCTCCTACAGGCAGGCCTCCCCTCACCCGGACCATGTCAGGACAGCCGGCTCCCGTCCTGTCACTCTCTCAGATGTAAAATGTGCGCAGCAGCTTGACAGCCGAAGCATGACCCACAAAAGAAAAAAATTGTGAAATTGGACTTCATCAAAGCTTAAAATGTTTACTCTCTCAAAGACACTGCTCAGTGAGGAGACAAGCCGCAGACTTGGGGAAAATATTTGCAAACCAGCCGACTCTGGACTTGTATCCAGAGTATATAAAGATATCTCAAAGCAAAAAGAAAAAAAAAAATTCAAAAATGGAAAAAGACCTGAAGAGATACTTTACCGAAGAGAATTTAAGAATGGTCAATAAGCCCAGGAAAAGATGCTCGAAATCATTAACCATGAGGGAAATGCAAATTAAAGCCACAACTCGAAACTGCGACACCCCCGCGAGGTGGGTTAATGAAACAAGGCTAGTGAGCGTGCGGGGCGACCAGCACTCCCACAGCCCCGGCTGCGGAGGCGAGTGGGACAGCCACGCGGTAGGAAGACGGCCCCATGGGACCGCGGTCCCACTCCCGGGCATTCATCCCACAGGAACGAAACCGTCCACACAAGAACCTGTGCAAGAGTGTTTGTGTGGGTTTACTCATCACCACCGAAAACTGGAAAGACCAGAATGAATAAGCAGAATGTGCATTGTCTAGCGGGGTACAGCCAGCAGGAAATGGGGGGACATTTGATACATGACCACACGGGTGGCCCCAGAAGCACCGTGTGGAGTGACAGCCGGCAGCTCCAGGGCCGACATCTGGTCTGATTGCATTCACGTGCCGTTCTGGAGAAGACACAACTATCGGTCAGAGATGGCAGTGTGAGGGAATGTGGGGTGAAGGGATGTTCCCCATCCTGCTTGTGGCCGCGCAGATCTGCACATGCTAAACTCAGGGAACCGCACACCCAAAAGAGCCCGTTTACTATATGACAATGCAGAAAACAAAATGTAACGTGGGGAAGTAAGAACCTGTGTGAAGGAGTACAGGACGGATTGACTCTGGGAAGGCGCAGCAGGAACGACCTGGCTGGAGAAGGGGGTGGGGGCGGGGGGGGGGGAAGGACCCTGAGGCCAGGATTTGGAAAGCACGTGGCTCTTCTGTGAAAGGTGCCTGTTGTTTCGTGGGAAGCAGCTTCACGCTCACTATGAGGCCTGGTTAACGAGGATTGTAAAATAGAAGGAAGCACCCTCATACATTATGACGTCAGTAGTTTTCATGAAGCGTTGTTTTCCTGACTCCTGACGTCCGACTTTGCACTGGCTGGTGCCTTTCCCAGAAACACTTAGGTTTACGTCCGCCCAGCGCTGAGGGCGTGCGTGCACACATTCACTTCCGTGGGCCAGCACGCCCTGTCCCCTTCTCCACCTCCCTCCTGCGCCCAGGGATGCTACGTGGTTGGTCAGATGGGGGGAGCTGGGGTGTGTGATTTTTCTTCTTTTTAATTTAAAAAGAAAAACATAGTTAATGTGGATAGCAGCACGTCTCACAGTGCTTCCTGAGTGCAGATGGGGGCTGGAAAGAATATGGACCTGGAGCAATCGGCCACGGCCTGGAGCGCTCAGGAGCTCCACTCGCAGGACAGCTCTCTCGCCTCCTGTCTGCCCCAGCCTGGCCAGGGGCTGATGTGTGCTGGAGGCTCTCCGCAGGAGCCAGCCCGCCCCCAGAACACGTGTCCCCTTACCGCCTTCCTCGGGGTGACAGGATGGACTGGGGGAGGAAGATGCCTGCTTTAGGAGCCACGTCCCAACCCCCCCCCAAGACTGTCTTGGGGGTGGGGGGGCTTCCAAGCAGCATCCTGTGGCACTCGTCTACCCCAGCATTCCGCTTCGCCACCACGTGAACAGGCAAGGTGGGGACACAGGCATTGTCCCCGCCCCCAGCCTTTGCCTCAGGTGGGGCCATAAGTGTTTTGGGTTTTTTTAATTCATAAGTAGCTTATGTTTGGAGAAGCCGCAGAATATTTAAAAGTATATACATTTTTAATAGTTTGGGAGAGTTCCATAAACCAATTACACAATATTGCCGAAGCTCATGGGGTGGTTGCCGGGTGAGACCTGGGAGAGCCGGGTGGCCAGCTGGGCAGTGCTCCCATGTGTCCCCCCCTTCTTGTGACCAGCTCTCCTCTCCAAGAGCCATGGGGCTCCAGGGCCCTGGGGTCATGTCTGCATTAAAGCCAGCAGAGCGCGCCCCTGTCCCCGTCTCCCCACGTGGGATGCGTGTGGCTGCCACCTGCTGCGCTGTGAGGCCGTTACGTGGGCTTCCGGTGCAGCTCCTTGGGTGACCTGGTCATGGGTCCAGGTTAATTGGCGAGGTAGCTTATTTTTAATTACTGTTATAAGATCAAACAGGAATTGGCTCTTTTGCCCAGTTCCTTGGCCCTTTATTCCTGTTTCCTTTATTCTTTAGCAGTTCATGCTGAACAAAATCGTAAGCCCTATAGAGTGCTGGGGGAGGAG